TCTAAGAGCTGAATTCTGAGGGCACCAGAATCTTGAGTCCTTGGCTTTTCCCAAAGCCTCCAATCCTATGGATCCTTAAACCTTGAATCCTCTGAGATTATGCAGGATGTTGCATCTTGGGGCTGCCAGGACTCCTGAGTGCCCTTAGCTTGTCACTGTGCACTAGGGGCCACTTGCAGCCCCCGGGATATGCCTTCTTTAGGTTCCAGTCCCTCATTTTGCTCCTGTCCTCACAGAACTCCCTGAGTGAGGAGATAGCCAACATGAAGAAGCTTCAGGATGAGCTACTGCTTAACAAGGTAGAAGGGCTCAGAGGGATGGAGCTTGGTGGGACAGAATGAGAACAGAGGGTCAGGGATTGCAGAGGTTGGGGTCAGCAAGGTTGGGAGTGGGTATCCCTTAGGGGCTAGGAAGATTCTAATCTTCTGATGTCTCCAACCCCCTCACCCACCAGGAGCAGCTCTTGGCTGAAATGGAACGGATGCAGATGGAGATTGACCAGCTGCGGGGGAGGCCACCATCTTCCTACTCCAGGTGACAGTAGCTTTCCTGCCCTATCTCTGCCCATAGAACCACTTTGGCCAAGCTTATCCCTTGTGATTTAGATTCATTTCCTCCTGAGACTGCCACTAATCCCTCTTGTATTTGACCCTGACTTCATGACCCCTGTTCCCAGGCCTATCACTGTGACCCCTCAGTTCTCTTCCTTTTTCCTGACCCTTTGGTCCCTGACTGCCTTCCCTATGCCTACAGGTCTCTCCCTGGCAGTGCCCTGGAGCTTCGTTACTCCCAGGCACCCACGTTACCTTCTGGTGCCCACTTGGACCCCTATGGGGCTGGCAGCAGCCGGGCAGGCAAGAGGGGCCGCTGGTCAGGGGTCAAGGATGAGCCCTCCAAGGTCAGCAGCTACCTCTGGGGTATAGTCTGAGTAGGGCTTGGGCAGGTAGCAGTGGGAAATGGAGCCAAATCCAAGGGGCCCTGGGAGGAGGCTGGGTTGAGAAGCCGGGTCTCCTGTACTCACCCTGTCTTCTTTTCTTCCCTGCAATTCCATCATCCCTCTTGCCTGGATGTCTCTTCATGCAAATATCCTGCTACTTGGTGAGAACTTGAGAGTAACAGTGGGATGAGGAGAGGCATGTAGAATCCCAGAGTGGGTGGGGCCAGGTGCATATGAGAGTGGGAGGCCTCAAGAAAATGGGGAGGGAAAGGGATGGAGTAATGGGCATGTGATGGCTTAGAGAGCTTTGTGGGGAGAGATCCAGAACAGGGATCTGTTGAGAGAGCTGGGCCAGGAAAGGTGTCAGAGCAAGTAGATAGGGTCAGGGAGGACAGGAAAGGTCAGAATTGCTGAGCAAGGACTCAGCACCAATCTCAGCCCCCACCTACCTGGCATCCCTTGTCCTCACACAGAGGCAGGATTGGGAGCGGTCAGCCCCTGCAGGCTCCATACCACCTCCATTCCCTGGGGAGCTGGATGGGTCAGATGAGGAGGAGGCAGAAGGAATGTTTGGAGCTGAGCTGCTGTCCCCTAGTGGGCAGGCGGATGTGCAGACGCTGGCCATTATGCTTCAGGAACAGCTGGAGGCTATCAACAAGGAGATCAAGTGAGCACTGGTCCAGTCCTGCTCTTCCCCCACACTCCCTCTGGCTCTGGAGACTGAGTTGAAGGCCTGAGCCTACCTCCTCTCCCACCATCCCTAAGGAATTCTCCCAGTCCAACCCTGCCTTCAACATCCAGGAATCCTCTAGGATACACACAGAAGTCTTCATGTGCTACATGCATGCATATGTATCCTCCAACCAGTATTCTCAGTTTTCCGACACACCAAAGACTGCATTCTAGAATACCCAAATTCTCAACTCAGTGCATCAAGAATCTTCCAATACACCATGGATTTTGTGGCTTCACTTAACTGGTACCCGTAGTCTCCCAGTACCTCAAGAATCTCAACACAACACAAGGTCCCTAACCATAAACACCAAAAATCTTATCCTAACATGTTAATCAAGAACTTCAACTTCATATACCAAGATTTCTACCTAACAGAAGCCTTTCATTGATTAAGAAGTCTCTACTGATGTAACATCTGCCCCAATTCACCAGCATTTGCCCTATTCAACAATTCTATAATAACATACCCCACAGGCCCCCACCCAGGTATACCAATGTGACCACCTTCATTCAAACTATGACTTTGTGTATCAATTCCCACATACTCAATGACTTTTTGACCTTCCCAGATCTTAGATTGACCTCAGAGCTCCTGATCTCACCCTGCACTTTTTTTTTTTTTTGAGACAGAGTCTCAAGCTGTCACCCTGGATAGAGTGCTGTGGCATCGCAGCTCACAGCAACCTCAAACTCTTGGGCTTAAGCTATTGTCTTGCCTCAGCCTCCCAAGTAGCTGGGACTACAGGCGCCCGCCACAATGCCCAGCTATTTTTTGGCTGTAGTTGTCATTGTTTGGCAGGCCTGGGCTGGATTCGAACCCGCCAGCTCTGGTGTACGTGGCTGGTTCCCTAGCTGCTGAGCTACAGGCACTGAGCCCTCACCCTGCTCTTATTATCTTATTCTAGCAGTCTGCCTTGGAACTTGATCTTTTGCCCATAGTAATCCCTTTATGATTTTCCAGAACCACTTGGCTATCATCAGGGCCACCTTAATGCAGACCATGATTGCTTTGACAGCCCTAATCCTTTCATGACTCCCTGACTCTATCATGATCCTTTAATCCCCTTGAACCCATGAGGCTGTCCTGAATCGTCAGATCCCTCTAACTTGATTTTACCTTCCCTAGAATTCCCCTTGCCCCACCAACACTTTCTGGCCCATTAATTCTCAGACTCCCTCTCCCATTGTCTGTTGCAGCCTCTCACCTAACCTCCACCATTTCTCTCCTCAGGCTAATCCAAGAGGAGAAGGAGACAACAGAACAGAGGGCAGAGGAGCTGGAGAACAGGGTGTCCAGCTCTGGCCTGGACTCATTGGGCCGCTACCGAAGCAGCTGCTCACTGCCCCCTTCCCTCACCACCTCTACCCTTGCCAGTCCTTCACCTCCCAGCTCTGGCCACTCAACACCCCGTCTGGCACCCCCTAGCCCTGCCCGTGAGGGCACTGACAAAGCTGTGAGTGTTCCGAAGTCTTCTCAGACTGGTGGGGAGATGGGGAAAGATCAGAAACAGGGCTCCCTAAGAAACAGCAACAATGACCCCTCACACCAGTGGTTTTCTAAAATAACCTTAGCTTTCCCTAAAGCTTCCAAACTCGAAGGGCAAAGAGGAGGCCAAGTCACTGGGCTCCTGAACCCTAACTTTCACTTTAGTTAGGTTTGATTTTACCTGTCTTATGCATCAAGTTTCTGATTGGATTAAAAAAACACATACATAGGTTTTATTATATTTTATTTCTTCTTGAGACAGAAACTTACTCTGTTCACCTCAACCCAGTGCCGTAACATCCTACCTCACAGCAATCTCAAATTCTTGAGCTTAAGTGATCCTCTTGTCTCAGCCTCCCAAGTAGCTGCAAACTACAGTCACCTGCCATGATACCTGGCCAGTTTTTCTATTTTTAGTAGAGACAGGGTCCTGCTCATGCTCACATTGGTCTCTAAGTCCTGAGCTCAAGCAGTCCACCTGCTTTAGCCTCCTGAAGTGCTAGGATTACAGGCGTGAGCCACGGTTCCTGGCCACACATAGGATTTTAAGAAATACATTTAAGAATTATAATTAGGCTGTGGCTCAAGTGGCTAAGGCACCAGCCACATACACCTAAGGTGGCGGGTTTGAATCCAGCCTGGGCCCGCCAAACAACAATGACGGCTGCAACCAAAAAATAGCCGGGCATTATGGCGGGTGCCTGTGGTCCCAGCTATTTGGGAGGTTGAGGCAGGAGACTCGCTTGAGCCCAGGAGTTGGAGGTTGCTGTGAGTTGTGATGCCATGGCATTCTATCCAGGGGGACAGCTTGAGGTTCTGTCTCAAAAAAAACAAAATAGAATTATAATTAGATCCCTAGAATTGACTTTCGAAGGAGGCAGTTAGTGGTCCTATTTTATTTCTTTTTTTGAGACAGCGTCTCAAGCTGTCACCCTGGGTAGAATGACATAGTGTTATAGCTCACGGCAACCTCCAACTCAGACTCAAGTGATCCTCTTGCCTCAGTTTTTCTATTTTTAGTAGAGAGGGATCTTGTTTTTGCTCAGGCTGGTCTTGAACTCTTGAGCTTAAGCAATCCACCTGCTTCGGCTTCCTGGAGTACTAGGATTACAGGCATGAGCTACTGTGCCCAGACAGCCTATTTTATTTCCTAAACCCAGCTTTCTTCCTTCTAGAACCTGTAACTCATTAGCTTTCTTTGCAGACAAGTATATCCCACTCCTGACACGAAAAGTGAAGGTACTATAAATGTGAGCTTGTCAAACTCTAGGGAACTGCAATCATTGCCTTTAAGTCTGGCAACTCACTCCTACTTGATCTAGGATATCTTTGAATATGGTGCCGTAAGCCAGGGTCATCCAAGACACACCCTAGTCGATATCTTAATTAATAAGGAGCCCCCAAACATGACTCCCTCACCTTAATCCAACATCTACACTTATGTATTCTCAGAATCATGTCCCTAAGGAGGAAGCTGGGGCTCCACGAGGGGAGGGTCCAGCCATCCCAGGAGATACTCCACCACCCACCCCCCGCTCTGCCCGTCTTGAGAGAATGACTCAGGCCTTGGCACTTCAGGCAGGGTCCCTGGAAGATGGGGCACCTTCACGGGGAAGGTTAGTAGGGCCAAGGGATGGGCACAGGGAGGGGTGTGCTTGGGAGGATGAGACAAAAGAATGGACAAGGACTTGGGAGGAAGTGGGGGAAACCTAGAAGAGTTCTGTCCTCATTCTCTCCTGCTTACCCAGTGAGGGCACCCCAGATTCCCTGCACAAAGCCCCCAAGAAGAAGAGCATCAAGTCATCCATAGGCCGTCTCTTTGGAAAGAAAGAGAAAGGACGAATAGGACCCCCAGGACGGGACAGCTCTTCTCTTGGTGAGTGCCTTAATTCCAGCCATTCCCTTCTTTGATCCTTCCTTCCACCCTCTCTCTTTCTCCCTTCTTTCCATATTCATTTGACACTCATTCATGTTTCCATTCATTTGGTAATTCATTTAGAATATGGAAGGAACAGAGGTAGACAGGAGGAGGAGGGAAAAGGAAAGGGACCTTTGGGGCCTGCCTGGGTGACTGGGTGGGTAAATGAATTTGTTATTTCATCTATTTATTTTTTAAATACAGAAAGAGGTTGGAGCATTCTAAAGGCAGGGCCCCTTCCTCTGGTGTACTGAAATCTACTTCCCTGGGAGAACTCCTGTTTTGGGAATTTTGTGAGCTGCTTGACCTCACATTGGTAGTTTGAAATCGGCCATGATGGGATTATTTACAATATGGAAATTGACAAATGCTACAAATTAGGAAAGTGCTTTTCCCTCCCTAGGGAGCCAGTTATTAGCCATTTACCAGCACATCACTTTCACCTGACCAAGGCCAGCCCAGTAAATCTAGCCCTATTTTGGGAATGTCTCCAATTCACTGCCTGGGAGGTGACATGGATCCCTGTTTGGTTTTATCACCCCTTGGTTGTGGCCTCACTCACTATTCCCTCAGGGGCTCTGCCTTCCTGGCATCTTTCTTACTACCCCCAGCATGAGTGATTCTGCCTCCCTCTTGAAAATTTCCAAGTTTTGACCTCTCCCTGCCTCCAGCTGGAACACCCTCAGATGAGACGTTGGCCACTGACCCTCTGGGGCTAGCCAAGCTGACAGGCCCAGGAGACAAGGACCGAAGGAACAAGAGAAAGTGAGTGTGTGTGGGCGGTGCCTGTAGCTCAGTGAGTAGGGCGCCAGTCCCATGTACCAAGGGTGGCAGGTTTGAACCCAGCCCCTGACCAAACTGCAACAAAAAATAGACAGGCATTGTGGTGGGCACCTATAGTCCCAGCTGCTCGGGAG